CTACTTGATTTAGCTTGTTTATTGTTATCACTGAAACGTAAAGGAAATTGGTTAATAATACTCAAACGTTGGCTTGCCTAGCAAGTGTGATGTTAAGAGTCATCACGATCCCGATGGTGGGAATTTTGGTTCGTGACAAGATATCTACTCCGCATGTCTAACTCGTACTCCCAGGTAACTGCCTCGACGGGCTTACCTCACCACTGCACTCGAACTGAAGGATAACTCTTCGATCTCAACTGACAAGCCCGTCGGGCTAGAATAGCCATCGGCTCCTCCTCATAAGTCAAATCTTTGTCCAACTGGACAGAACTGAAATCTAGCACGTAGGATGAATCGCCGTGATACTTCCGAAGCATGGACACATGGAATACCGGATGAACTGCTGATAAACTATGTGGCAATGCGAGCTTGTAATCCACCTCACCCACTCTCTAAAGAATCTCAAAAGGTCCGATGTACCTAGGGCTCAACTTGCCCTTCTTTCCAAACCTCATTACACCCTTCATGGGTGATACCCGGAGCAACACTCTTTCTCCGACCACGAATGCAACATCACGAACCTTATGGTAGGCATAACTCTTCTGCCTGGACTGAGCTGTGCGAAGTCTATCCTGAATTATCTTAACCTTATCCAAGGCATCCTGTACAAAATCTGTACCCAATAACCGAGCCTCCCCCGGCTCAAACCATCCAGCCGGCGATCGACACCGTCTATCATATAATGCCTCATAGGGAGCCATCTAGATGCTCGACTGATAGTTGTTGTTGTAGGTAAACTACGCAAGTGGCAAGAATTGATCCCAAGAGCCTCCGAAGTCTATAACACAAGCGCGAAGCATATCTTCCAATATCTGAATAGTGCGCTCGGACTCTCCGTCCGTTCGAGGATGAAACGTTGTGCTCAACTCAACCTGCGTGCCCAACTAGGGATGTTCATAAACATCTGAAAAATCGAACCAGATTGAAAATCGAACCAAACTGACCAAAAAACCGATACTTTTTAGGTTTGGTTTGGTTTGAATTTTAGAAACCGATCAAATTTGGTATGGTTTTGGTTTAAATAAAAAAATAACCAAAAAATCGAACCAAACCGACTATAAAATTAGCTATTTAAATTTATTATTACACTATATAATATAAAAATTTTAAAATGTATGGTACATATTAGTCATGTGTATTTTTAGTTTAGTTCTTTTCTATTATAATAATCTAATTCTTTGCTTTTACATTCTAGTTTGATTGGTAATTTTCTTTTGCTAAGTACAAGAATTTATTTCATGTTAAAAATAATCAATTTTTAATTAAGTACTTAAATTATCCATCACTAGTTGATTCAATTATTATCAACATATCTTGGTAAATGATAGATTTCTCAAAGAGCAATTGATTTGATAGTGTTACGTTGAAAATGTAGTCACCGGAATATGCGTTTGGTAGTGTATGTCTCATATTTAAGAAAAAACTGATAAATAACCGAAAAAACCAAAAAACCGACAAAAACCGAATCGATAAAAAACCGACTTAATTAGTTTGATTTGGTTCCAATATTTGAAAAATCGACTTACTTGGTTTGGTTTCTTTTTTGGGAAAAACCGACCCAAATTGAACCATGAACACTTCTATGCCCAACTAATGTTGTATTGCCCTCCAGAAATGTGAGGTGGATTGTGTACCTCGATCAGAAATGATAGACACAGGCACGCCGTGGAGACGGACGATCTCGCGGATGTAAATCTTAGCCAACCGCTCTGAAGAATAGGTAACTGCTACAGGAATGAAATGCGCTGACTTGGTCAGCCTGTCCACAATGACCTAAACTGCATCGAACTTCCTCTGAGTCTATGGGAGTCCAACAACAAAATCCATAGTGATACGCTCCCACTTCCACTCAGGAATCTCTATTTTCTGAAGCAAACCACCAGATCTCTGATGCTCAAACTTTTCTCGCTAACAATTTAAACACCGAGCTACATATGCAACTATATCCTTCTTCATCCTCCTCCACCAATAATGCTGCCGCAAGTCCTGATACATCTTGGCGACACCCCGATGAATAGAATACCGGGAACTGTGGGCCTCCTCTAGAATCAACTCACGAAGTCCATCCACATAGGCACACAAACACGATCTTGCATCATCTCCAACCATAACTTGCTTGGCATCACCGTGCCGCACTGTGTCCCTAAGGATAAGCAAATGAGGGTCATCATATTGCCGCTCCCTGATGCACTCAAATAATGAAGACCGAGCGACTGTACAAGCTAGAACACGACTGGGCTCAGAAACATCCAACCTCATTAACTAATTGGCCAAGGCCTGAATATCTAATGCAAGCGGTCTCTCACTGACTGGAATGTACGAAAGACTGCCCATACTCACTGACTACCTACTCAAGGCATCAGCCACCACATTAGCCTTACCGTGATGATACAAGATGGTGATATCATAGTCTTTCAATAGCTCCAACCACCTCATTTGCCTCAAATTGAGCTCCTTTTGTTTGAACAAATATTGCAAGCTCCGATGATCTATGAATACCTCACACGAGACGCCATAAAGATAATGCCTCCAAATCTTCAGCGCATGAACAAGAACAATGGAACTCTAAGTCATGAACAGGGTAATTCTTCTCGTGAACCTTTAGCTCCCTTGATGCGTATGCAATCACCTTGCCATCCTGCATCAATACCGCACCAAGTCCAATACAAGATGCATCACAATATACCGTATAAGATCCTGAACCTGTGAGCAATACCAACACCGGTGCCGTAGTCAAAGCAGTCTTGAGCTTCTGAAAGCCCGCCTCACACTCGTCCAACCATCTGAATGAGGCACCCTTTTGGGTCAACCTGGTCAACGGGGCTGCTATAGATGAGAACCCCTCCACAAACCGACGCTAATAACCCGCCAATCCCAAGAAACTCCGGATCTCCGTAGCTGAAGTGGGTCTAGGCCAGTTCTGAACTGACTCAATCTTCTTAGGATCCACTTGAATACCCTCTGCCAACACAACATGCCCCAAGAAAACGACTGAGCTTAACCAAAACTCGCATTTTGAAAACTTATCATATAACTGGCTGTCTCTCAAAGTCTGAAGAACGATCCGAAGATACTGCTCGTGCTCCTCTCAACTGCGGGAGTAAATCTAGACATCATCAATAAACACAATCATAAAGGAATCCAGATAGGTCTTGAACACCCGATTCATCAAATTCATAAATGTTGTTGGAGCATTTGTCAACCCAAATGATATCACCAGAAACTCATAATGCCCATACCGAGTCCGTAAAGTTGTCTTAGGGACATCGGATGCCCTAATCCTTAATAGATGGTAGCCAGACCTCAACTCGATCTTTGAAAATACCTTAGCACTCTGAAGCTGATCAAATAAATCATCAATCATTGTCAATGGATATTTGTTCTTGATGGTGACTTTGTTCAACTGCCGATAATCTATGCACATCCTCATCGATCCATCCTTCTTCTTTATAAATAACACGGGCGCACCCCAGAACGAGACACTAGGTCTAATGAAACCCTTATCAAGCATATCTTGCAATAGCTCCTTCAATTCTTTCAACTCTGGCGGGGCCATACGGTATGACAGAATAGAAATGGGTTAAGTGCCCGAAGCCAAATAACACCTAGAACTACGAATTGAGCACCAAATCAAATTGAAATTTTCAAGAAAATATTGAAACTTCTATTTTTACAACCGAACGTCCGAATCACGTCATCATATAAATCAGCAGAAACGGCATGGCATCACCCTTCATGCATTAACTCTTATAACATGACACGGCATCACCCTTTGTGCATTAACACTCATATACGATACGACATCATCTTTCGTGCATTAACACTCTCTCTTACCACATAACAATGAACAAGTAAAAACAGGGAGATAGGATCAATAAGTATAAGCCTTACTTCAACAACGGTCCGACCATACCAATCTCAACTCGGAATCCATAATCAATTATCACCAAACCTCATAAATATGATAAGAACAATCAATTTAATAATTAACTGGTCTAAGCATGGATAATATGATCAAGTAAAGCAACAATTACAAAGAACCAATTCCACCTGCATGCTATAACCTGACAACAACGCATAAATACTCGTCACCTCACATATACGTTGTATCCAACATCTAAACACGTAGCAAATAGACAAATAAATCCTAATCCCTCAAGTCAAGGTTAACCACGATATTTACCTCGCTCCAAAGACCAAACTCAAAGTTCAACCACAGTTTTGCCTTTCAAACAAGCCTCCGAACCAATAGAATCTGGCAATTTACCAACTAAACGATTCAAATTAAGCCTTATGAACTACCCACAATTGTAAAGAATTCAAATTAGGTCATTATTGAAAAAGTCAACACCCGGGCCCGCTTCGTCCAAACCCAAAATTCAGACCAAACTATGATTATCCATTCATTGCCGAGCCCAGTTATGTAATTTATTTTGGAATCCGACCTCAATTTGAGGTCTAAATTCCTATTTTTTAAAATCCCTAATTCTACCACC